CAGGATGCTCTCGATCTCCTGACCTCGTGATCCGCCCGCCTCGGCCTCCCAAAGTGCTGGGATTACAGGCTTGAGCCACTGCGCCCGGCCAACTGCTAAAAATTATTGTTATCAATTTCTTCTTCTGGGTTGGGCACAGTGGCTCATGGCTGTAATGCCAGCAATTTGAGAGGCATCATGATGCAAGAGGAAGAGGATTGCGTGAAGCCAGGAGTTCGGGACCAGCCTGGGCAACATAGTCCCCATCTATAAAAAAATTTAAAAATTAGCTGGGCGTGGTGGTGCACTCCTGTGGCCCCAGCTATTCTGGAGGCTGAAGTGGGAGGATTCCTTGAGCCCAGGGTTGATGCTGCAGAGAGCTGTGGTCACGCCACTGCATTCCAGCCTGAGTGACACAGCTGGAAATAATGATAAATAAATAATAATTATAAAAAAATAGTAAAATTATTCTCCCTGATTAATCTTTTTTTTTTCCTACTGAGAGTTCAATTTGTCTCTCTTCTGCCTCGTCCCCTAGGTTTCCCTGAAATCCTGCTGAGAGGTTAGCACTCCCTGCCAAAGTCAGTCTGCAAAACCCCAGAGAAATCCAGCTCATTCCTGGGGAAAACCACCAAGACTGCCCAGCCCTGTGTGGGGTTCAAGCAAGTTTCTCACACGTGCCTTCTTGGCACGAGGTCTCTGCAATCCCATGAGTCCGCAAAGAGACTCAATTCTAAAAGTTGGTCTCCACCAGCTCTCTGTGGCTTAGGGGGTCAAGTTCAACTGTGAAAGCCCTGTTCTGTTTTGATTTTGCTTTGAGGGGGAGGAAGCCGCCCCTTCTGTTTGTTTAACTCCTTCTCCTAAAGGGAGAAATCAATATTTATGTCCAGACTCCAGGTATCTGTACAATTGATTTTTCAGATGTTTATACTGATAATTCATCCAAAGGCAGGATCTCATAAAAACAAAAAAATATTTTTTTTGGCTGTACTTTTGTGAAGATTTTATTTAAATTCCTTATTGATCAGTGCTTATAAGGTGATATGGAATAACCATGTAAAAACAATATACAACGAAAGTAAGCTAAAAATCTATATACAATTCCTAGAAAGGAAAAGGCAAATATAGAGAGTGGTGGAAGTTCCCAGCATTTCTAGTGTTTTCCTTTTGAGGCAGAGAGGGTATTGGCATTAGGCTATTGGAGGATTTTGAAAGGATGCTGTTATCCTTCTGTGGACAAAAACAACAACATATTAACAGTTAAACGTGGAGACATTTCAGGGGGATCTTTCAGAAGATGCATTTCTAATTTTGAGGGAGAGTCAGCTGTTCACCGGAGACCCGAATACAGCAAATCAAGTCGCCTGCCCTGGCAGCACTTTCAAAAGACTGGAGTGGGAATCAGAGCTTCACGGGTTAAAAAGCCGATGTCACATCAGCCGTTCAAAACTCCTCCTCTCGCAGTGAGGTGAAGACATTTGAAAATCACCCCACTGCAAACTCCTCCCCCTGTTAGAAACCTCACGTTGAAATGCTGTAAATGACGTGGGCCCTGGAGTGCAATCGCGGGAAGCCAGAGTTTCCAGCGAGGACACAGCGGGTCCTGATCCGGGTCGGGACACTTTCTGCCAGAGGCTGCGAGCATGGGGCCCTGGGGCTGGAAACTGCGCTGGACCGTCGCCTTCCTCCTCGCCGCGGCGGAGGCTGCAGGTAAGGCTTGCTCTAGGCGCCCACGTAGGGCGAGAGGGAATCCCCGGGGGGCCCCTTGGGAATTTTTTTTTTTTTGGGTAAAAATAATCACTCTATCCCTGGAAGACCTGTAGGGTAATGGCACGGGGTCCTTCCCAAACGGCTGGAGGGGGCGCTGAGTAGGGCGCGAAGGTCGGGAGGAGTCTGAGGGATTTAAAGGAAACGGGGCACGGCTCGCCCCCAAGTCTCCACCAGGTAAGGGACACCTTCCTCTTATTTTTAAGACGGAGTCTAGCTATATCGCCCAGGATGGAGTGCAGTGGTCCGATCTCTGCTCTCTGCAACCTCCACCTCCCGGATTTAAGCAATTCTCCTGTCTCAGCCTCCCGAGTAGCTGGGATTACAGGCGCCCAACCACCATGCCCGGCTAATTTTTGTACTTTTAGTAGAGACGGGGTTTAACCATTTTGGCCAGGCTGGTCTCGAACTCCTGACCTCAGGTGATCTGCCCGCCTCGGCCTCCCAAAGTGTTGGGATTACAGGCGTCAGCCAAGGCGCCCGGCTGGGACCCCCTCTTCTAACTCAGAGCGGGGTGTGGGGACCACCAGTCCTAAAAGAAGGGACCACCTCCCCCCTCCTCCCCGCTGGCTTAAGTCCTTCTGGGGGCGAGGGTCGCGCGACTGGAGACCAGATGTCCAGCCTGGAGGTCCCCGCGGGCTCAGGGGTCCCGATCCGCTTTGCGCGACCCCAGGGCGCTACTGCCACCCTAGGTTGGGTGCAGTTCCCGGATTCCGCCGCGTGCTCCATCCGGGGGCCACCCCCTCCCGCCTCTGCCCCCGCCCCTTTGGCCCGCCTCCCGAATTCCATTGGGCGCAGTCCGAACAGGCCACCCTCGAGCCACTCCCCTCATCCAATGGGAGGCGGTGGAGGTGGAGGCCGGCGTCTGGAGGGCGGGGATTGTGTACTAGCTGGGCGGGGCTGGCTCGGAAGTCTGAACCGCACCTCGTCCAGGGCTAGGCGGCTGCATGGTAGCCTTGCGTTCCTCCGCGGTTCCTGTCACAAAGGCGGCGACAAGTCCCGGGTCCCCGGAGCCGCCTCTGCGACATACACGAGTCGCCCTCCGTTCGCCCGGGCCCACCCGGCGAAGTCCCCGGTTTCCGCTGTGCTCTGTGGCGAGACCTCCATCCCCACCTTGTCCTGGGGGCCGCCCCCGCCCCGCCAGCCCCGGTCAAGTTCACATAGGGGCCCCCGACCACCCTCAAGGCCTCGGTTCCTTCCAAGGCTGAAACGTTGTCTCAGAATCTACCTCCTTGGTCTGAAGCCGAGATCTTCCGACCCCTTGGGGTGGCCTCGCCTCTTCAGAGGCTGTGAATGGCTTCGGTTCAGCTGTCCAAGTGGCAATTTTTCCTCTGGGTGAAATGGATTAGATTTTAGATTTCCACAGGAGGCTGGTTGGTGCATGATCCTGAGTTAGAGCTTTTTCGGTGGCTTTAAATCAGTTGCAGAGAGAGAGCCTCGCCCTAGACAATAGCTATATGGTCCTTTCCCTCCTGAGAACCAGCCCAACCTAGAAAAGGATTGGGATTGCCTGTTGAACAGAAGGATTGCAGGAAACTTTTTTTTTAATTGGCAAGGGGGGTTGGCTTTGACTGGAGGGAGAGCTTTGAACTGCCTTGAAATTCACGCCATAACTAACACACCGGTTTCCTCTGGGAGGCCAGAGAGGGAGGGAGGAAGGGTGCAGTGAAATACGGATGATTATTCTTTTATTTTTATTTATTTATTTATTTTTTAACTTTTTGTAGAGATGAGGTCTCGCTTTGTTACTTAGGCTGGTCTTGAACTCCTGGCCTCAAGCGATCCTCCTATCTCAGCCTCCCAAAATGTAGGGATTACAGGAGTTAATCACCGCGCCCCACCAGGGATGACGATTATTGCAAACATTCTGCCACCCAGTTTTACAAAAGAAAGAGAGGCACTGAGGCCGGGCGCGGTGGCTCAAGCCTGTAATCCCAGCACTTTGGGAGGCCGAGACGGGTGGATCACGAGGTCAGGAGATCGAGACCATCCTG